GGGTCCTTTACTCACAAGTCGCTATTTTGGAGTATAGTGTAAGCCTATGTGCAATTCAGCCTCTAGCTTCCAGATGGAAAAGATTTGTCTGTCTATGCTATATGGCAAAAAGTTTGCTGACGCATCACACCTATATGAGATTCTTAAATATCCTATTCCAAAACCATGAGCATTAATTTGAAGTTGGCCTTCCCTCTTAGCATTATAACTGCCTTCACTCTTCTGGGAAGGATTTTCATAATATTGTGAAGTGCAACTATGGGAATTTGTGTCCATTAAGCCAAAAGAGCATTTAAAAGGTCAGGTACTGATTTTGAAGGAAAAGATGTGGCTTGTAATTGGTGTTTCAATTTATCCCAAAGTTGTTTAACATAGTCAGGTCTCTGTAAAGGCCAGTAAAGTTCATCCTCACCATACATGTCATATCATATCTATAAAGATCTAGATTTGTGCACCAGGATTATAATATTTTGGAGGGATGTCCACATATTTGTTAGCCTTATAGTGTGTTTGTCTGTCTGTCTATCATCTTAACATGTGTATTTACTAAAGCTACTTGTTGACCAGGGTAAAGTTTTGATATAAAAAATATTATTATATAAACACAATATTTTCTTCTCCTGGTAGCTTTAAAGTGGATCTAAACCCTCCTATTCTCTACATCCACGAAAGATTCTATCTTGGCCTCTGTTTGATGTACAGTTGCCAAGTGTGGCACATATGATCAGTTATGATACCGGCCATTTGAAGACTTGACAATTAGGTTGAGAGAACAATGAACTGGGACAGTTATGATTCATGGCATGTCTTGAATGTGATTGTTTTGGGAAGAAGTTGAATTGATGGGATCAGTAACAACAAAGTTACATTTCACATTTCTGTTCAGCCAATTTTATTCTGTGTGTATTTCATTAAGAAAAGGCAGTAAATAAATCAGGATCCACATTATGAACAATGAATTTTGGTTGGATTAATCATTGATGAAATTTCAGATGCTATAATGCATAACTGACCAGCTATGATTGAGCATTAGTCTGATCTACATATCTACTGTCATACTTGACATGCCTTTTAAGGCAGCTTTTCTCAACACAGAGAAACCCTTGAAAAAACTTTCTGGTCTCAGGGCACCCCTGCTCAAAATTACTATGTCTACAACTCATGATACATTAGTGTGATGGTAAATGAGAAGAATGCATCTTACACTTGTGATCATTGGGAATAATTACCCCCTTACAGATAGCTAAACAGATACATGGTGTCAGTGGAAGTTTGTCTAAAAGACAGAAATTCCACAATGCTCAAGAAACCTCCAGCAACCCCTGAAGGAACCCTGGTTGAAAACTCCTGCTTTGAGATGTTCTTCTCATCTTGGTAATTGGTTGGCAATCTTGTTGTCATAGGAGAAGGAATAATTGGTACATGTATGCCTACCTATTTAGAAGTATTTTGAAAAAAATATATATTTATATACATCACATTTAGCAATTTTGAAGTGCTTGTTTTGCCCCCCCCAGGAAGCCACTTGCTCAGTCTTTGATCATATTAAGCTGTTTTACTACCAGTATGAGCAATGTATTAACTGTAAGTTTGTTCTGGATCAATGTTTTAATGTCTGTTAGATTTACATTGTACCCTTTATCCCTCAGCGGCTCTGATAAGGGGTAATCGATCCAATTGTGCTTTGTTCTCCAACAACTTGGACTGGGTTGTCAGTAAACTGGATCGGCTGGAAGCTTCCTCAGGTGAGAGATAAAGACTTGCCATATAACATACTATCCCTTATGCAGAATGACTCCATTTTTGACCATGTGTCCAACATTTCACTTTGTTAGAGTAGAAAAGCAGATGATGGTTGATTTTTTTGGTTCCCATCCATCAACAAATTTTTAAAACTTGCTTATCAAGATATCTGAAATAATGTGAGTGTAGTATATAGTATACAATTAGATTATCAGCTGAAGAATGAAAAGAAGAATCGTATTGGCTGTCGACATTCAGTATGGATAGTTCTTATGTCAAATACACATACATTTAAGCCAAATGTGACACAAACTCAGTGAGTTGAGAATACTACGAATAAAGGCTTCCAACATTGTTAACTATGTAAAGCATCCACAGCACACAGGAAGGAGCCACTGGGTATCTGAACTGAGGCACAATTTCCAACTGTGTTTCCTAGTTTTTCAACTAACACAAGTCTTTGACAAATCAAAATAACTGCAGTATTAATTATGTCCAGACTGAATGCTGTACTTAGACAAGTTCAGTTATCTGGTCAACTAGATATTATTACATTGTTTTCAGTGAGTCAGACATGATTGGTAAAGTTCCACTATCAGAGAAGAACAATGAGGCACAAGCATTGTGTGTTACTACTAAACATAAAGCAGAGCTTGAATACGAAATAAATAAATATGGTTGGCACTATGTACATATAGTATATAAACACCAACAACTACAACATTAAGCAGATTTGTCTGACAAACATATCTAGAAAAATAATAATTACAGCTTCTTTTTAGGAATTAATCAAAATTAATTGGCTTGTCTGGGTCATCTTTTACATTAATTACAAAAGGAGTTTCTGTGTTTGATCCCAATCCTCTTTCTTTTGCAGGCATTTTGGAAGTTTTGTACTGTGTACTGATTGAAAGTCCTGAAGTTCTGAATATTATAAAAGAAAATCACATCAAATCAATTATTTCTCTGCTCGATAAACATGGACGGAATCATAAGGTAACTGAGGATCTTGATAGTCTCTCATTTTACCATTAGGCACAGTAGGTGACAAGGCTACTTGTCCCAACGTAGTCATTGGCCACAGATTTTGACTATGATTGGTAAAAAAAAAAATACTGCCATCTCATATAGCTTATTTGCATAATGTTATTATATTCTAAGCTGAGCAAGGAACAGTTAAAAAAAAAAACAAACAAGGGGTATTTTATTTGATCTAATAATGTTTGCGGGCCTACGGGCCCTACGGACTGAAAGTCCAGTGCTGCACTTGCTTTTTTTTATTTTTTAGTTATTACTTTCTGTATTGGGTTTGTTTAAAACAGTGCAAGGATCAACAAAATTTCTGGTGAGTCTACTCAAAGGTCATCGGTTCAGTTTATCTAGAATTATCGCATGTTACCATCAAAGGTTTTAGGCCTACAAAGGTTGTGGGCCTATAGGCTACATTGATGGAAGTCTGTTCCTGCACTTGCTCATTTATTTTTCATTTATTGGTTTCTCTGCTGGGGTTGTTTAAAACAGCACGAGGATCAACAAAGTTCTAGTTAGTCCACTAAAAGGTAATCCGTGATTGTTTACTGAGAAAGACTGCACATTGCTCTTTGTATGAGATGCTACATGCCAGCAGCTCCAGAGGCACTTGTGCAGCTCCATCATCTGCACAAATGTTACATACTCCCCTGATGAAAATGCAACAAGCTAATAATACAATGTCTAGTTGGGATGCAGCTAATTGTTACTTTGTGCCTCACCCAACACTTACTATTTTGTAAATTTCCTTCAGGTTCTGGATGTCCTCTGTTCTCTCTGTGTATGTAACGGGGTAGCTGTAAGATCCAATCAGAATCTTATCACCGAGAATCTGCTACCACGAAGAGATCTCCTTCTCCAGACCAGAATGATCAACTATGTCACCAGGTGATTAGCTTTCTTTGACTTTTAGAAAGACATAGACCTGCTGCTTTTGAAGTATGGTATTTACAATCCGTAATCATGCAAGCTGTAACATTTTTTTTACATTCTTTACTTGCCAAAAATGGCTTTTTAGATGCACTCTCCATAAAAACAGATAATGTGTATTGTTTATTTTAGGAAAGTCCCCCTATATACCTCTGTATTTCATTTTAAAGCCTCTCCCATTCCACATAGCAAAGCCATCTTTTGCATTTCTTCCTATCATCATTTAAGTTTGGAGAACTGGAAGAGCTGAATAGGAGGTAATGGTCTTAAATATGTAGGTGTTTGCTTTGCTAGGAAGGATGAAGGAAATTAGAAACAGAGCTGTATTTACGATGGCGTAGCGCCTAGGAGTGCAGAATAAGGGGAGCAGTGCTAAATCTTAAAACTTGCAAATTTTAATAACCATTTTTAATTTTGATTCCATATTCTGACCACTTCTTGGCTAAATTGGCTACCTTCAGAAAGAGAACTTTCTTTATCGTATATCACAGAACACAGAGCAGGCTATTCATAACTAGCTAGGTTATAGGCCACCTATAGGTGAATGGACACTGGCAGACCAATCAGAGAGAAGGTCCTCCCCTCTACAGGAAGTACTTCAGTTTTTTTTGCTGCTGTCTGTAAAGTGGATGGTCACTGAAAGTGTTGCTGTGCTCTTGGAGCATACCTGAAAGTCCAGTACGGTCCATTAGAGAATCAGGGACTTTAATCGAATCCATTCGGAAAGCTGTGCAGATGGAACCCTGTGCAGTTTTAAACCTGACCAAGGTGTGGTTGGTGAAGGTTGGTGACTAACGGAATTCAGGGACCTGTGGCGGGACTGGTAAGATATCTCCTTTTTTTCTCTCTCTCTGTCTGTAAAGAGAAACAAACAAAGCTCTAAATTGGAGGGAAAAGGAGAGGTGTTGTGACTGTGAGTTTCCACCAGGGGGAGTGCTCACAATTGTTCCCTAAATGTGCTTGCTCTCCTGTGTTCGGCCACTAGAGGGAGTACAGCCAGCGCATGTGCAGTAGCGGCCGGAAATGGAGGTCGGCCATATATGTTTATCTGGAGGCCAGGACACACATGAGCTGCTGCTGCTAGGGAATCTCCTGTGGCCAGGACACAGAACAAGCTATTCTGTAGGGGCAGGTAAGTACTCCCCTGAGGTGGAAGCGTGGACCAGTCGGTCAGGAGCCACCCTTGGTTGACTAAGGCAGCATTTGCATTGTTTTTACTTCAGTACACTACTTGCATAGCTGTATCTTGAGATCTGTGTTTACTAGTGGAGGTGCAGAGGTTTGCGCTATCGGAAGTAATGTCTTCCAGAAAGTGAAGTGGGGGAGGTGCAACAGGAAAGGGCACTAATGTACCACCGCCAGGTCCTGAGGAACCTACCCGAAGGTCTGCTGTATAATGCTCTCCTGATAGACCAGAAGCAACTGGTTAGCCAGAGCTGCTGCATCTATCTGGCATTGTTGCTTCTGCCTCAACATATGTAACCAGCATATGTAACCTCAGCATATGTAACCAAGGATGATCTTGCTTCAGCCTTAGTGGGTTTAGAAGATAAGATCACTGGGATGATTGCATTGGTTTCTCAGGGGACTAGAACCACCAATCCTGGAGCAGGAATGGGTGGAGGATGAGGAAGAGCTCAAGATAGTTCAGGCAATAGAATTTTTGTCTGATGAGTCAAAGCCCGAGGAGAAGCAGGCAGTCTCTGCCTCCCAGTCTTAGAGATTTTTAGTCCAGGAGCTCACTGATATGGTATGGTGTGGATTTGGGCTACCTCTGATAGAAACCTCTGAGCTTACTTATTCTTCCCTGGGCTCTTTGAAGCCTTTGAAGCCTTCAGTACTCAGGCCTTTCCAGTGCATCCTCTTCTGGAGCAAATCATATATGTTCACTGGGATCACCCAGACAGGGTTTTTGTCCCACCAAAGATGTATTCTTTCTTGTACCCCATGGAAGTGTGTTAAGAAATGGGGGTTGCCTTTAGTAGATGCAGCTTTTTCATCCCTGAATAAATCTTTAACATGTCCTGTGGATAATGTAAAGTTTTTCAAGGACACAGTGGCTAAGAAAGCTGGAGTCTCACCTTAAGGCCTCCTGGCAGGGTCTGCCACACAGTCAACTTTGGCAGCTATTGGCATTTGCCAGAGTCTTTCTGATGCTCTTAAGGATTCAATTCAGCAAATTTCTCGCTTGGCACTCTTATCAGTGCACATGCGCAGGGTTTTGTGTCTGAAGAGTTGGTCGGCAGAATTACCATGCAAAAACATTGTTGGCAGGTTTTCCCTTTGATGGGGAATGGCTGTTTGGGCCTCCCCATTGAATTTTATAAGGCCCATAGTGAAATACTCCCCCTGCTGTTAGCCTCCCTATACACACGCAAAGTGTATCCTCTGGTAAGTTGCCACCCTCTATGAACCATGCTGATGTGGTGTTGATCTATAAATCCCCCAAAGATCCTATCTCCTATAGACCCATTGCTCTGCTTAATACCATCTTTAAAATACTGACCAAACTTCTCCCCTTGAGGCTACAACCGATCTTGCCTACTATTATTGAGCTGGACAAAACAGGATTCATGGCCCACAGGGCCATGGACATTAATATATGCAGATTGTACACAAACATCCATGCCACACACCAACATGGGTTGCAGGGAGGTGGCCTCCCAAGATCTTGAAAAGGCCTTTGATACGATTGAATGGCCATTCTTTGGGAGGTACTTAATAGGATGGGCTTCCCTCTGGTATTTATTGCATGGCTTAAGATACTATATGTCAACCCCACAGCTGCCATCCAGTTGAATGGCAGCCTATCGGCTCCATTCTCTTTGGCTAGAGGATCTCTCCAGCTCTTTTTCCCATAGCTGTGGAACCCATAGCTGAGGCTCTCTGCACCTCCTCTAACATCAAGGACCTTTGCATTGGCTGGCTGGAGGAGAGGGTAGCCCTGTACACTGATGACATCCTTTTGTTCTTAAATGGTGCCGGACCGTCGCTCACTTGGGCCCTCCAGATTCTACACTCATTTGCCCTTGTCACCGAACTTAGGGTCCGTTGGACAAAATCCCTACTGTTCCCCATTGACCCCCAAGTTCCAACGCGGCCTCCCCTAATGTTCAATTACAAAGGGTGGAGAGTTTCAGGTACCTAGAAGTCATGGTCTCATGTCGGGTCTCAGACTTTCTCCCCTTGAATCTTACTCCTGTAGTACAAGATCTCAAACTGAAGCTGAAGGCATGGGAGTCCTTACCTCTTTCTATCCTTGGGCGTATTAACTTTTTTAAAATGAAACTCCTCCCAAAACTCACCTACTTATTTAGACATTCTCCACAATGGATCCCCAAGTCCTCTTTCGCCCGACTTCTCCTCCATATGGGCCCTTACACTCCCAGATACAAACTTTCTACCCTTATGCGACCCCCTGCTCAAGACAGCCTGGCCTTCCCAGACTGAAACAAATACTTCTTGGCCACCCAACTGGTTTCAGCTGCCTGATGGCTGAATCCTGATCTCAATAATCCCTGTACTGTTCTGGAGGCTTTAAAGTTCCTTTTATATAGGGGGCCTACTCAGTGACACCCTCCATGGTTACCACCCTGTGAGCCTGGCAAGCTGGCCTAACATGCGAACACTACCCCAAATTCCCTGAATGCTCCATTGTGGCTCAATCCTTCCCTGCCCCATTTCCACATGCTACCTGAACCCCATGCCTGGACTAAATTCAATATTAAAACCATTTTCCAACTTGTCACCAATTCTGCACTATCCCCTCTGTCTGTCCTTTCTTCCACCTATAATGTTCCTGCATCCCACCTATTTCGATACCTACAACTCTCCCATGCACTCAGTTCCCTCAATCTACCCTACTGCCCTCAATCTTCCCTCAATCTACCCTACTGCTCATCCAATCGACCCAGTCAGTACTGAGATCTGATTGCGCTGTGAAACCTACCTCCCATATATATTCCCACCTACTGGGTGCCTGTCTACCCGTTTTGGAGGGCTTGTGGAAACGATAGATGCGGGATGCCCCGGAACTAGATAATGATGATTGGGATGACATCTGGGACCTTTCCGTTTGCAACTTGGTTTCTCTAAGATACAATTTAATTCAGTTTAAATTAGTACATTGTGCATATTATACTCCTTATAAACTTCATTAGATGAATCCCTTGCACTCTCCGGAGTGCTGGCGCTGTGGAGATGTCCCTGGAGATTTTGCACATGTGGTTTGGCAGTGCCCAGCAATAACTGAGAGAGGTGATATCCCTGACCTCGGTTTCCCTACAGCCCTCCATATCAGTCAGTATATTAGGCTTGGTTAGTAATCTTCTGCCTACAATAGCTGAATGCACTTTGATAAGCCTACTTTTATTCTATGAAAGGAAGACCATAGCATTGAACTGGAAAAGGTCTGCCCCTCTATCTCTTGCATTTTGGAAGCAGTTAGTCAATGATAACCTGCCACTCTATAAAGATACCTACATACACAAAGACTGACTCAAAAAGTATGACAGAGTATAGTCCAAATGGCTAGCTGAACCTTCCACTGCTTCAGACATGACTCCATTACCCTTATGAGGCGTCCCTGTAAATCCTTCTGTTCCTGAGGGCATCCCAAACCCCATAACTCATGTTATGTCTGGACACTCCCTACTGCTATATGTACTCTTCAGTTTATGGCTATGACCACCTTGGCCACTTTATACGACTGTCTATGTAACCCTCTCATATACAGTTTACCTCAATAATGTATATCCCTGCATTGCTCTGCCCCTGCGAGAGTATAATATTTGTGAACCAATGTTTGTTGCTTGTTGTTGTTCTTACTGTTGTTTTCTATGTATACCATGTTACATATATTCAATAAACAGATTAAAAAAAATCGCTTTTTTTACTGCTTATTAAAAATATTTAAAAACTAATGCCCATAGTCTAGCAAAATGTTCACTTTAAAGATTTAGCTCTTACAAACAAGAATTTTGACTAGTGTACTGTTTTAGAAATGTTAAAACTTTACATCAAACAGGTGTGTATGATATAGCTAGCACAGAAAAAATCATATACTGTATGCATAGTATTACTTCCCTAATGGCTCTTTTGTATTTCAGCATGAGACCCAATGTCTTCCTGGGGACATGTGAAGGTTCCACTCAGTTCAAGAAGTGGTATTTTGAAGTTATTGTAGATCAGGTGGAACCCTTTGTAACTGCTGACACTACTCATCTTCGAGTTGGTTGGGCACTGACTGAGGGCTACAGCCCTTACCCTGGTGCAGGGGAAGGCTGGGGAGCCAATGGAGTCGGTGATGATTTGTACTCCTTTGCTTTTGATGGTCTTCATCTGTGGTCAGGTAAGTCTGAGATCACTGACCAGAAAATGTGGGATTGTGGTTCATGGACTTGTGGTTGGATATTTTCCTAAGACAAGATGCTGTTGCCACTTCTTAAAAATTAGTAGCTCTTCTTATGTTACACTTTGAGCAGCAACACTGAAACAAAACCAGTTTACTGGACCTGTCAGGCAACAGTACTGCAAAAGGGATCTGCAAGATAAGATTTTTTTTTTTTTGTACAAAGGGTGTAAATCTCTAATAATGGCACCAACGATGTCACAGGGGTTGTGACATTTGTACCTGAATGTGACATGGTACCAGCCACTTGCTGTCCCCTGTATGTTCAGAGTTAGAAACAGCATAAGGAATCAGTCAGTTGTGCTGCAGTTCTCATGTGCTAACAAAAGAGCTTTGCTTCAGCCTTCACGGTCCTCTTCTCAGCAGGTCATACTTATGACTGCTGTTATTTTGGCTGCTTCTTCGGAACCAGCCTAATGAACATCAAGAGCAGCTTCTGTGGTATCCCCAGGTCCTACAAGGTCCCAGTTAGACATTTAAGTTCTCAGGTCCTCTATGACATGTTGTTTAAAGCCCAACTCTAGCTTAACCTCTGATTTCAGCTTTGGAAGAGCAGAGAAGGGTTAGAGCTGTTAAGCTTTTAATGTGATCTATGTCCCTGTAAAACAGATTTCTGTTCTTTCTGACACCCATCACCATCAGGGCAAGAAGTGATGAAATATCACCTTTATAGTTATTACTGTCCAATGGCTGAAACATCAATGTCCATGTATTGTTTATCCATTAAATATTTTCTTGTGTGTATTTCATAACAGGTCGGGTGTGCAGGTCTGTAGCCTCCCATAACCAACACTTGTTAACAGCTGATGATGTGGTCAGCTGTTGCCTGGATTTGACCGTACCAAGCATCTCATTCCGATTCAATGGGCATCCAGTACAGGGCATGTTTGAGAACTTTAACTTGGATGGGCTCTTCTTCCCAGTTGCAAGCTTCTCAGCTGGAATTAAGTATGAAGAAAAGCATTCTCTTTAATTTTTAACACATTATTGACACTGCTGCCATTCTAAAGGTTGTTTTTTCTTCAGAATCCGTTTCCTTATGGGAGGTCGTCATGGTGATTTCAAATTCCTTCCACCTCCGGGTTATGCACCAGCTTATGAAGCACTACTGCCTCGGGATCGTATGAGGGTGGAGCCAATTAAAGAATATAAACATGATGTGGGAGATATTCGTAATCTCCTGGGGCCCACTAAATCCCTCTCCCACACCTCTTTTGTCCCCTGCCC